CAGGTTGACTGTGTGGGACAAGAGGGAATAATCACAGATGGACACGTTGCGAAAGGCACGTAAAGCATGATGAGAGGCAAAGGCGCACGATCCAAAAGCATAAGCACAAGGCTGAAGGACTATGAGTGGGTTATTCGCTAGTATAAATATAATAATCGTTTAGTGAGAGAGTGTGAATGGTGTTGTTGGAATTCCTTCTCTCTGATTCAATTTCTCTGTCCTTCTTGGTCCTTCCATTTCCATTTCTGCATTTTTGCATTGCAAAGTACTATTTTCATTGTCTCTATAAGTTCAGTCATTTCGTTAATAGAGAGAAAATCTTCCTTCTCCATTTTTTGCTTCCTTTTTGAGTGCTACATTACATATTGCTTCAAATTTTAAAGCACTTAAAATACCTTCTTCAGGTGTGTAATGAAGCCTCAAGGCAATTCATTAATCTTGAAAAGTGTAGGTTTTTATCACAGCTTGGTATATAATGCTAGAGTTGATAAAATTCAAGTTATTTTTTGATGTTTGTGGCTGATCAAGCTCCTTTTGTTTATCTTGGTGTTTCTATTTTCAAAAGAAAGCCTAGAGCTAGACACTTTCAAGGAATCTTGAACAAGGAGAAGGCTAAATTAGCTTCATGGAAAGGTATTTTATTCTCTATGATGGGTCGAGTTCAACTAGTAAATGTAGTCATCTCTAGGATGCTACTTTATTGCTTTTATATATGCTCCTAGCCCAAAGCCATATTGAAACAAGTGGAGAGACTAATTAGAAACTTTAATTGGTTATGGGACTTGAATGTCTCTAAGATTGTTACTGTTGCATGGAAACAAGTCTGCAAAGCTATCTATGAAGGTGGTCTAAGTCTTATGTTATTAGTCGGTCTTAATGAAGCAACCACACTAAAGTTAGCATGGAACTTCTTACACATTGATGGCAATTGGGAAGCCCTAATGCGAGCACGTTTTATCAAAAACAAAGTCCCCATGGTGCCTTGCATCATTAAAGAATAATGATATCACAACAACTTTGAACACTTCAAAATCTAACAATCATTAGCAACATATCAATATATATAAAAAGGAAAAAAAATAGAAGGAAAACAATATCAGAGGGTAGGTCAAAATTCATAAACATAAATTAATAAAACCTAAAAAAATATAAGACTATAACAATTATGGAAAAAAACTCATCATTGGTAAAGTTCGGGAGAGAATTCCACCACCTATATATTAGCCTATGATGAAGCTGATAACTAGTTAATCTATCTGCACACAAAAATAAAATTCTCGATAAATGTGAGAAGCAAAAAAAAAAAACATAATAAAACAAAGTTAATAACAATGCAACCATCTACTCCAAATTTTCCAAGAAAATAAAGATACATCCTTAATTGTTTATAAAAATAAGGGTACAATCATATTCTAACTAAAAATTAGACTAGTGCATCTCATAAGCCTTTTTAATGGCCAAAAGTTAGATATATGTCTTATGTAAAATTTTTTATAAAATGTGATCAATGTATAATTATAATTTGGTTTAAATATGTTTTTAATCCCTTAAATTTAAGACAAATTTGTTTTTGGTCCCTCAAATTTAAAACTATTGTTTTTAGTCCCTATAATTTTTAAAAATTTTGTTTTAGTCCCTTAGGTTATCAATAACATATTTGAAAGTGACTAATTAAGACAGTTATGCAATATGAACCGGATTTAATGTGATATTTTCACTAATAGGGACATCAATAGGTAGATTTTATGCAATAATGTTTGATAAATTTCTCAACAAAATTTGAATATAATGACTAAAATAAGATTTTTTAAAATTATAAGGACTAAAAACAATAATTTTAAATTTGAGGGACCAAAAATAGATTTATCCTAAATTTGAGGGACTAAAAACATATTTAAGTATTATAATTTTGATTAAAATTCATAAATATAATAAATACATAATTGTTATTTTGCAAATTGAAAATAAAATATATTTCTTGTACATTACTAAAAATAAAATATAAAAAAACTTACTATATCTATAAGCCATTTCATCATAAATTGCTTTCTATTATTTAGAAATAAAAATAATACTATCAATTTCATTTCTTTCTTAAAATCATCCATTAAGAGGATAATTTTCTATGTCCTAGTTTAAGGCATTTCTTGCGCTTTTAATTAGGTTTTGAATAAATTTTGTGCTACTCAAAAAAAAATTAAGAGAAAAATTTTAGTTCATAAAGAGACAATATTTTTATATTAAACATGTTTATAATTTTTTTACTCAAACATATTTATATATCTTATTTAAGTATATTATATTTTTGTAATTTTCTAAAGCCTTGGATACTTCTCTAATACGCATCATTCATAACTATCAATAAAAATCTTAGAATATCAAGAACAACTAATTTTTATAATGTTTTCAAAGTTTAAGATACTTTATTGATATGTATTAGTGAAATACTTGAGAGTTACGATATATATGAAACAAAATGATGTTTATTTGCTTCCTATGCTACAATTATGTCCATCTTCTTCCAGATTCAAACATTGAAGAACATACATCAACATCTTCATCCATGGGAATGGAGTTAAGTTGCTTTTCACATCAGAATATGCTGCTCCTATCGGTCCATTGCTCGTACGAGCCAAAATCATTGCTTAATTAATTATTTATTTGATTAATAAAATATTAACTATTTTATATAGATATTTTTTTGGTTGAAAGTGAATGAAAAGAAGGGGATGAAGTTTTTTTTAATATCTTGTTTGGTTCAAATTTTAAGAGAAAAATATAGTAAAATTTCTCGAATCTCTATTTTAACTTCCTTCTAATATTAGAAAATTTGAAAGGAAAGATAGGGATTTTAAAATGTTTGTAATATAATGTTTGAAATATCCATATTTTTGTTTTTAAATTTAAAATTACAAAGATGTAAAGGTAAATTAATTTTTAAATTTTTCCTCTTCCTTTGTAAACTAAATAAAAAAAATAGTTATCTTTATTCTATTTCTTTTACCGAACAAAATTTTTAACTCTTTATCTCCCTCACCCTCCATGAAACTTTCACCTCTCTCCTCCTTCCTTTTGAACCAATATAGCCTTATATTTGTCTTTTTTTTTACTTTAAAATGATTTCCTTACTGATTTAAAACATCAATTAATTATAAAAAAAAATATAAGTCAAAATTAGTTAAACAAAAATGTCTAAAAGAACATGAGAAAAAAAAAGGTAAATGAACAATAAAAAAAGTTAAATTTTATTACTAAAAATACCAAAATAGATACTTAAAAAAGAATTTAATATAATTTTAGTCTTTAAATTTTTATCAATTTTCATTTTTATGTTTTATTTAGTGTAGTTGAAGAGGGAAGGAGGAGAGAGAAAAGATGAGAAGCGTGTAAAAGTTGGATTTGAAAGTGCATTTAGAAGAGTAGAAGTGTGTGAAAATGGAGGAGTTTTGTGAATTCTATACCAAAAACTTCCACCCAAATTAAGAAGAGGGAGGGAAGTTACTATTCATGCACTTTGTTACACAATTTAATTCTCATAAGTATCACATTTTGTAACTGTAAACTATTTCTCATGTTAAATTTATAATTAATGAAACTATTAATTGAAACAAAAGTGCCTATATGTGACGCTAAGTATGTGTAACTAGGGATGGTAAAGTGGGTCGTGGCCTGCGGGTCGGGCTCATCATTTCAACCCGCCAACCCGTTAAGCCCGCCCTGTCAACCCCGCCAACCCGTTGGGCCAAATAGCGGGCCGACCCGCTACAACCCGCCGGCTCGCATATTTTTTTTTAATTTAATTATTTTTATGTTTATTTTATTTTGATGTAGAAGATGAGGATGAAGATGATAAAAAAAAAGTAGAGACAACTTCTTCCAAGAGAGCTTCTAATATTCTTAAAATAAAAATTCAAAGTTAATTAATTGTATTTGAACTTGTTTTGTGGACTATCAAAAAATTTAGTTTATAAGTAATTTGTAAGTTTATAATTTAGTTTTGATTTTTGGTGTAAATGGACTAATTTCTATTTGATTTTGTTCTAAGTTTATAATTTGCTTTTGTTGAACATATATTATGTACAATATGTATGTATTTTTAATTTCATATGATTATATTTATTTATTTGTAGCAAATTTTTTTATTTGAACATAAAATATTTTTTTTTTCATTTTTTTTGTATGCGGGCTGGCCCGCCAACCCACTAGCCAGTCCTTAGGCTGGGCGGGCCAACATCCCCAACTCGTTTTACATTGGTGGGCCGGCCCGGCCCGGTCCATTTTGCCATTCCTATGTGTAACAATTATGTGTGAAATATATTTTAAATGCATTTTCACTTTTATTATATTTATTATTATATAAAATGTATCTTAAATCAAATATCTTGCGCGAATAGACATAATAATGCATTTGAATCGAGAATTTTAATAATGTAATTTAATTTTTTTAAAAAATTCAAATGCTTTAGTGTAAAATATTTTATTTTATTGAAGAATTTATAAAAGAAATTGAAATTTAATTATTTGTGAAAATTTTTAAAATGTGAAATTTTAAATTCTCAAAAAAATATAAGATTTTGAAATTCTTTCTCTATTTTCCCCTACTACCCTCTTCTCTCTTTTAAAGTTGACATAATATATATATTTTTAATTATTGAATATTTAAAATTATTTTTAAATTATTAAATATTATCTAAATAATTTTTAAAACTATTAGTTTTATAAAATTGATTAATATTTAATTTTATAAAATTAAACATAAGAATTTAGTTTTATCTATGGTAGAAATTAAGTTGATCTATCTAAACTGAGAATTAAAAATTTTAAAAATTTAAATTGACTTATTCATACAAAATATTAAAAAAAATATTTTTTAAATTGACTTATTCATACAAAATATTAAAAAAAATATTAAAGAACGAGAAAAATTAAAATTAAAATAATTCATATTCTTTAAATTTCTAAAATTTTTCATTCAAACACGCTAGCGTACTATAATAGAATTTATGAAAGTCTAAATAATCTATATTGTAAGGATTATTCACATTATATAAGGTTATATATAGTCTTGATTATTCAATTTTTACATTGGTGATCAATGTTAATATTAAAATAGAATCAATCTTACATTCAAGTCTGTTTGACTTGGTTTGATCTAGCACCACGCTTACCAAGTTTTGTTAAGATGTATGCCATGGCAACTTTAGCACCTAGGCTAGAGTGACCACGAGACAAGCAAATAGCACCCCCAAGAAGCAGCAAACTATTGGCTACCAATTTTCTTGATGGCCTTCGGAACATACGCAGTCGAGGTTCATCAGTAATTTGATCATGGAAGACAGTAGGATGTGCTGGAGATACGTTGTTCGTGATAGGGTCCAAGCAATCAGGTACCTGTACACACAAGGGAAGGGATTATTAATCACACACTTGCCTACTTTGAATTCCGCAACTAAGAGAGAAAGAGAAAAGAAAGAGAAGTATGAAATGTGATAACAAAAAGAGATAGACCAAAAGAAAAAAGATATATAAATTGTTGTTTGTATATTCCATCTCATTGGGAAAATGATGCGATAAAAAACCCCACCTTGAACACGGATGCGTGACCATGAGATGCCATTAAGCTACATGGCCATTACCAGCTAGTTCTAATATTTGAATGAATTTCACTCACGACTTCTGAGAAGACACTACCTACATTACTTTTGCCAAAAATGACTCGATGATTCAAATCAAATTAATGGCTTTATCCGATACAACCTGATATCATGTTCCCATAAAATATAAAATCTAATATGTTCTCCCCGTATATTTTACTACAAAATTTCCATGGCTTGAGCTGCATCCAGTCCATAAAACTAATTTAATTTAAATGAAATCCTATGGTTTCCCTGCACTTGAATTGAAAGAAAACAGTATCTCTTTCAGAATAAAATACAGGATAAATGTATTGAGTGATGTAGAACGTAAAAAGAAAGTAATATCACTTTGTTTAAACTTTAAAATTAGGGATATTTTAATGTGGGAAATTAAGAAATTGATATCCGAGCCAATCAGTGCTGTATTAGGGGAAAAAGAAAGGCAGAAGACAAAAAGACAAAATTGCTTCATTGACAAGTGATAGAGAATAACCGTTATTCTCATACTGCTAGGGATCCCAGAATGCATCAAGAACTATTAACCTACCATTTGCTAAGTTTTGAGACATTAATTGCATCCAAAGATAAAATTGGTTACTGCAGAAGAGCTGACAGAAATGTATGGTTCCCCCCAAGAAACAAACCTACTGGGACTTGGAAGAAAAGCTACATTCAACTCTAATAAGAAAAAAAAACATTAATATGCCCAAAGAACTGGGTGTAAAGATAGGAAATTGAAGCTCAACTAAACCTAAAATGACGCAATATAGCTGCCAATAGAAACCTGCGAATGGTACCACTAAGTTGACGAGAATAATATCATAAACAATGTCACTACCCAAAAATTTAACTCCTGAAGAAACATACTTCCTCATCATCCTGAAAATAAGTGCATGATTTTATAAATCTTTTCATTTTTGTCCCGGTTAGAGTTGACTTTAAAATTAAACCATCAGTAGGAACCTATCACATCGTAGGAATTATTTAATAGGTCAACAATGTTATAATTTGTCATCAAGAACCAATTTGAAGTTTAAGTCAAATCTTCCATCAAGCAACGTTCTGGAAATTATGATAAAAGGAACCAGCAATCCAATCAGGAAAGAAATTAAATGATTATATGAGAAACTAACAGCACTAACCTTCTGCATTAAATTGACTGAAGTGGTAACTGAACTTGATAAACGATAGCTTAAATCAGAGTATCTTCTAAGTGCATTATCCATCTTGCAAACATAGTTCCATATGCCCTTGCGGAAAGCCAGCTTAGCCATCTCTATATTTAAACCAGCATCTTCTTGATGAAACATTGTGATCTCACAGGCATTACTACCAGGTACTGTAATTATTATAAATGCCAGTCATAAAACAGTCTTTTCAGAGCTATAAATCATTAACTCATTGTTGAGGCAATGAAATATAAATTAAGAGGGGGCACAAAAATACCACTGGGTGCAAATGCAAAGAAAGATTTTCAACAGTATCAAACTCCAAATAAATGTGCAGAGTTAAATAGATTGTGATGGTATATATTCAACTTAGTACATTAAATGACATGGAATAAAGAGATCTCCACCATTTTTGTCAGGATTATTAAGAAGAAAATAATTGAGAAAATTGCTTGACTGAAAATCACCCTCAACAGCTCCACCTGCTGTTGACTTGACTTTGAAAATGGCTGCAAAACATGCCATACAAGGAGTGTCATAAGAACCTTGGGAAAACCACACCACAAAGCTAGCTATTGTAATTGGAGAGCCCAATGCCTTACAAACCCCATACAAGAATCTCATATTTCTAATGTGGGACTCACATCTCATACCTTGCAATTGAATCATAACATCCCAATTGGACTGGTTATGCATTAGCCCCTTTGACTAGTCCTGGACAAACACTGCAATGCTGGCATCACCACCCACGCTACCCGTTTGCAGTTGGAAGACATGGTGGAAGGCACTGAATACCAATTGATAAGAACCTTGGGAGAAGCACACCACAAAAGCCAATTGTAGTTGGAGAGCCAAAGGCCTTATACATTCTTCACTCACTAGAATCTCATATTTTTTATGTGAGACTAGAGTCCCATACCTTGCAATTGGATCCTGACAGAGTGGCAGGGTGGTCACTCTAACCCGATAACCCACAATCCCAGTACTATCATGTGCAATTCACAACTATGATCTTGTATATATTATCATAGATAGACTCTTCTTAATAGAAGACCTCTTCCCAAAGTGACATTTAAATACTGAATATTCTATTTACAATTTGAAAGTGTTTCTCCCTTAGATCGTACATGAAGTGACTAACCACAATCATTGCATATGCCAGATCAGGTCTAACGTGGGATGGATAAATGACCTTTCCCACAAGTCTTCGTTACTGGGATTTTTCCACCCTTGGGCTTTCTTTACCATCATCAGTGATTTAATTTGGTTCCATGGGTAATCCAATAGTCTTACAACTCCCCAAGATTGGGAGCTCTAGTACCAACTTGAAAACTAGAAAGATTTAAAAGAAGGAAACTAAAAAATAATTTATTTCTAATATGGTGATTACTAAATGAAAGACATCACTCATATATATAAACTTTATCACATTTAAGTTAGCAACCTCGAGACAAGAGTTTTAGTTATCAATAGCATGTGAATCTGTACATGCTAATTAAAGATAAAAAATTAAATTCTAACAATTACAATAATTATACTCCACAACATTTAACGAAGGGAAAAATAATCGAGTATATGAGGAAATTGCTTGAGTAAAAAACACACTCAACCTAACAACTTACATAGAGAATTACATAGAAAAATGAATACACAAAATTAGGTTAATAATTCTAACTCTATTTCCTAAGTTGCAATGAATCTAGGCAACTTTGAACGTAGAGTAGGTTTATTATATTATACTTTCCAACAACATTAAAAAAAGGAAAAGTTGCCACCCCCACCACCAAGGAAAAAAAATGTTTCATTGTTTAATGAAAAAAAACTTGGAATAAATAACCTACCTTCTCTTATTTGCCAGCCAGATCTGTAGTACTCAACTCGTACATACTTTTTCTGTCGTGGTGTCAAAGGATGTTCACATTCCTAACAAGTTTCATGATTAAAATGAGAAGAGAATAATCATTGCATAGAAAAGAGAACACCAGTTCGCTATAACAAATAAAAACAATTCTTTGTATGCATCCTCAAATACATTTGCAAGAAATCTCCCAAATTACCACATTCTTCCACAAATAGGGATGTCTATAATGAGAGAAAAGGGATGCATTAGACATGCTGAACTGTTTGCCAATAGTGACAAGGCATACCAAAAAACTTTCTACCAAAACAAGTATGCAGGGCTGGCACTGGTTAACAGCTTCTATTTAAATGTATACAACGAGAAACCGGAATAATTTGATGTTACATGTCAGTATATATTATAGAGTACAAATCCCAACAAATAAATCTCCAAATAGGCAAAGATATTGATAATTACTAATGGATAGTATTACATGACTTGAATATGAATAACTTCTTAATATGAATTGATGGGTACAATCAAATAAATAGACATGTAACAAAAACAATTCCTAAAGTTTTGGGATTAAGATAAACTATAAATTAGGAAGATAAACTAATATATCTAAACTATATCTCAGAATATCATAGAATATCTTAACGGTCCCCCTCAAGCTGGAGCATATATATCATATGCATCTAGCTTGTTACATATATATGCTATCCTAGGACCTCGTAAAGATTTAGTAAAGATATTTGCAAGTTGATCCTTGGAGCAAATTGAGGAGGTCTTGATGATATCGGAGAGGATCTTTTCTCTGATGAAATGGCAGACAACCTCTATATGCTTTGTTCTCTTATGAAAAACTGGATTAGAGGAGAGGTATAAAGCTGATTGGTTATCACAAGTTAGTTCCATATGACCAACCTTGCAAAACTGCAACTCTTGAATTAAGAATTTTATCCACAGGAGCACACATGTGGTGTGAGCCATAGCATGATATTCTGTTTCTGTACTTGATCGTGCAACAACACTTTGCTTTTTACTCTTCCATGAGACAAGATTACCACCCATGAAGACCCAATAGCCTGATGTTGATCGTCTATCACTTGCATCACCTGCCCAATCTGCATCTGAATATCCAACAATGTCTGTATGTCCTCTATCATTGTAAACAAGTCCCTTTCCTAGTGATCTTTTGATGTATCTAAGGATCCGAAGAACCGCATGCCAATGACTCTCATAGGGAGAGTTAAGAAACTGACTACCAACACTGACGAGAAAGGATATATCAGGTATGGTCATGGTGAGATAACTCAATTTTCCCACTAATCTCTGATATCTCCCTGGGTCAGGATAAGGCTCCCCTTGATTAGGCATAAGCTTCACATTGGGATCCATGGGAGTGTCAACTGGCTTACAATCTGTAAGTCCGGTCTCTTCTAGAATGTCAAGCGTACATTTTCTCTGAGAAATAGCAATACCGGACTTTGACTGAGCGACCTCACAAGGAAATAACGCAGGGGACCTAAATCTTTAGTTTGAAAATTGAAAGTGTTTAAATAAATGTTGCTTCAGAGCCTTGATGCCCTCCTGATCATCACCTGTAATCACAATATCATCTACATAAACCACAAGACATACAAATCATTGTGTCAGTGAGTGTCTAAAGAAGACAGAGTCGCCTGCCTCGCAGGGGATCATTCCAAATTCTTGTATAACTTTGCTTAAACCGACCAAACCAAGCGCGAGGTGATTGTTTGAGGCCATACAAGGACTTCTATAATTTACACAAAAGACCAGACCTCCCTTGAGCAACAAACCCAGGAGGTTGCTCCATATAAATCTCTTCCTCCAAATCACCATGTAAGAAGGCATTCTTGATGTCTAATTGAAACAGGTTCTTATCCGGTTATTAAGTTTAAGTTCTCATTGCTTATAAGAAATCTACATTGGAGCATGCTGACATGGCAGGTCAAATTGCTAAAATTTAAGTACCGTTGCTTATATAAGAGACGGTTGCTTAAGAATAAAAAGATAATTTAATATTTCTTTCCTTCACTGATGTCAACAATTATAATAATTAAATTTTTTAAAATTTATTAAAAATGAAGTATGAGTGATTAAAAAGTGGAGGTACTTATAAGCAACTTTTATTAGAGTAAAAATTATAAAAATGTAATATAAGTTGCTTATGAGTGACATGACAGTGTAAGATC